TGATTCAAATGTCGCAGCTAATATACGCAACAGTTAAAATAAGAAATAAGAATCATTTCCTTTCCCATTGAGTTCCATCCCAGTGTTCACGGGGATGGACGTCTGTGTCTTCAGCAGGCGTAGACCTAACAGAAGGGGCAGCGTTGCGAGGCAAGGGCTCAAACATGTACGGCTGGAAGCCTTCTACACCAAACCAAGCTTCTGCCGCCCTGGCGTCCTCTTCCACAACATCTTCGTCCCTCCTCCAATAAAAAATGGATAACGGAAGAGACTCATCCACGACCTCCGACACTAAACTCTCCTCCTCTTGTATGTTTCCGCTGTCCATAGCGTTCCTTGACAGTGTCGTTTCTAAGTCACCAATTTAATGCTACTTGGTCCCAATGGAATTTCCCATATGGAACCTACTAGCACTAAGTTGCTAACTGGTTAGCAAGATGCTTCTGACAAACCGGACACAATCAAACTTGCTTGCGAACCTTCCGCCGCAACAATGCCGCCCTCTTGTTAAACAACCAATCACATTCACTTTATTCACTAGTGTAAAGTCGGGCACCACTCGGGAGAATTCAGAAAACAGTTGGAACAGCCGCTTCCCTACGATCTAAGACATTGTTTATTTTTTCTAGCTGTTTACTTGTGGCTCGGTCCACAAAAGTGCAGGTGTGCTGCCAATTGACGATACAAACTGTGAGTTCTGGGAAGCTCCAGGAAATGTTTGTGAGAGTGAAAAGGGCTAAATAAAAACCATCAGAGGAATCTGAAACTGATGGCTGATGCTTTTTTTTGTTCACCTTGCTGATCCTTGACCATACTAATAAACAGACAAAATGTTCCAAATATATTCTCTCTGTGTTCTTTAAATTTCTTCAATTGTGAGAGTAAGCATCAGAACAAGCATGTGCTCAAACTGTCCTGATTTGTTTCTTTTTTCTGGAAGTTTTTATTGAGGATTCATCAATGTATGCTTGGCGGTGCCCTAGGGGTTAGAGCAGTGTGCTTGTGCTCTGAGAAGGATGCAAGTAACCGGTTTGATACCCACTGCCTGCACTCCGGATTCCTGAGCAAAACCCTTAACCCCACACTGCTCCCCAGGTGCCACACAATGACAGCCCACTGCTCCTCAAAGATCAAAATGCTGAAAGTGAATTTCTCCATTGTAAGATCAGTGAAGTTCAATTATTATTGTCCTTATTAATGAAAGAGCTGCTGGCTTAATTTGGCATATCTGAAGAGATATGGTGATGCTGGTGACACCACAAGTTCAAAGCCCCACAGCTCTGGAACTGCCGTAGCTAGAGGTCTGAAATGTTCTGCATTTGTGTTTAACATGATGTAGAACAGATGTAAGACAATGAGACCTGCCTTTTCTCAAGCATGTCTTTATTACTGCTGTTCAACAAAGACCTATTATTTTCGAGAAAAAAAAAAAAAACTTAGAGTCAAGTTTGAACTGATGCAGCCTGGTCTGTGTTCTACTCACCCAATTGCACATGTAATATGGGCTTACAGTTCCTAAGTTATTTGCTTTTCCATTTGGGTATGCAAAATAGGCGAGAATTTCCCAAAATGAGGTGGATGTTAAAAGGTTAACCCACAATTGCTCCCCAGGCGCCGCATAGTGACAGCTCACTGCTCCCAAAGGGGATAGGAGCAGAATTGATCAAGTGAATTTCTCCATTGTGAGATCAATGATTTTCAATTATTCTCCAACAATTTATCCCACAATCCACCATAATCTGCGGGAACATTGATGATGAGTGCAGATGAATTTGTTTTAAGATGATTTAATGCAAGAAGGAGACCTGAACACTGTGATATCAACTCTCTAACAATGAAGCTATTCTGAAATATTCTCCACAGTTTTTAGAGCAGCAGAGCTCCGCTTATTGATATAAATCATACAATAACGATACGTTTATTATGAGTAAATAGAGAGAAGCAGAAAGGAAATTAAACAGAAATATCCTCTTCTGGATGGAATATTTTGTTTTTCACTATTTATTATAATAAATTAAAAGGCTATAACATTTTGAATGATTACTTTAAGATAACATATTTGTGTTTAGGTTTCCTGCACTTTTGAGATGTGATTCATGACCATTCTGGCTTTACTGGTAATTCAACCAGTTTATTTATCAGCAATTTATCTCATAATTCTGATATATAACACGTTTCATGGAATCCTATTAGCAACCTCTGTATCGGCAGGAATCTGAACATGCAGTGAGTCATTTTTTCCCTGCAACAGATGATTCTGTGGTTTAATAGTGGGATCTGTAAACAGATTAGCTCAGCCTGACTTTTGTTAACAACCTCAGGGAAATTGATTCTCGGTTTAATGTGTATAAATTCAATTTCTGGGGAAGTGTTTTTGTCCTTGTGTAATTAAATGGAAGAGTTGTATTTCTGGAATGTGGGCGGAGCCAGGGACTGCTTGCTGAGAGGCAGCAGTGCTACCAAGCCTGCTTTAATATTATTGATACTAAGTGTAATAAATATTGAGCAATAGATCACCTGTTGACAGTTTTTTCATGTACATAAAGCTTGGTTTGTAAAGAGATTTATTCTTAGACAGTAACTACTTACATTTACCCGAAATAGTTTTTAGAAACCACTATAATTTTAGGAATAGTTGTTATTTACTAGTATAATTACTCTTGGATCAAATTTCTGGTCATTTTACCCTCCATGAATAACGTAATCTATTCAGAGATCAGGTGAAGATACAGTAAACTGTGGATATTATTACTTGCAGGTCTTTATCCTTTGATCTGAGTTTTATGGACACAGTGTAGAAAAAACAAACAAACAGATTTTTATATAAAGATGGGTAAAGAAATTAGAAAATAAACATAATAACAGTAGTGGTAAAGTATAAGAATATTTCCATGTTCAGTCCCGTATTACCTCGTGTTAACATTTAGAGGTTTTGGATCAAGGCTTATAGTGGCAGGAGTGGTGGCCCAGTGGTCAGGGCATAGAGCTTGGAAACCTGATGTTCTGAGTAAGGGCCCCACTCCCACAGACTGCCACTCTGGGAGCCTGTGTCAGGATCCCAATTTTTGTGTTCGTCTGTTTGTCTTGTCTTTTGTGTTTCGCCCTTCCACCACCAGGAGGCGCCTGGCTCCGGTTCGCCTCCTCACACACCTGCAAGCTGTTGCCTCATCACCGGACTGCTCTTAAGCTGCTGGTTGCCACTACTTCAACGCCAGAGTGTTTGCCAGTTTGGGGTACTCTATCCAAGCCTTGTTTATGCTGAGTCTAATCTGAGTTTTTGCATTTTGAGTTTTTGTCCTCTAGCCAAGCTGAGATCACATTGAGTTTTACTGAGCGCTTGTTTCTCCCTGAGACTCAACTTTGTTTGTTCTTTGCCTTTTGGCAGGAAGCCTTCCTGCAAACTGGACCTTTTCGGACCGCTTTCTCCCAAGTGGGATTAACTGAGTCTTACACTGAACGACGGATTGCAAACAGGAGGTTTGGATCCAGCCACCTTTGAGCACACTGAGATCACTCTCTGAGTAAGGACGTCGTCTTCACCACGACCAGTTCAAGTACCACAGGAAAACTGAGTTGCAACCAGCGGCTGCATCTTTCCACTCCATCCGAGTTCTGGGTAAACCCTGTTCTGCCCTCCACCGAATCAAACAAACCCTGGAAGACCAACACACAGACTGGAGTCTACGTGTCTCTTCTTCTCTGGAAACGTGAGTGGCAACAAATCCTCTCCTTCAAGATTAACAACTCCAATTCCCCACAGAGCCTGAATCTAACAGTCTGTCTTCCCTTCGTCTTCCAGTTTCCCGGCCGAGCAGAGGTCGGAGGAACTCTGCACCAAACTCAAAATGCTCTTCAATAAAACGCGTTCAAACTTTTACTCTGTGTCTCTCTGTTTGGCTTCACTGCATGTGGGTCCGAGCCTTAGATAAAATCATGACAGCCTGAGCAAAAGACCCTTAACCCCACACTGCTCCCTGGGCCCCCCATGATGGCAGCCCACTGCTCCCCAAGGGTATGGGTTAAATGGTGAGAGTTAATTTCGTTGCTCTGTGCTTGTGACAGTGGAATGACAATAAAAGTTGAAAAAAAGGTCTACTCTGCACCCTAAAGCCTTACACTACAAAACATTCTAAAAATGAATAAAAATGTCTTAAATTAAGTGGAATTACCCTTAATTTGAGCAGGTAAATAAGATGATTTGCCAATGGAATGAGTGTTTTTACTCTTAAATGAGTTAATTAGATAATATACACTTGTAATAAGACAATATAATTTTTTTCTTATTTTAAATGTAAATTATCTTGTTACATTGGCAAAGTGTCTCACTTACCTACTTAAATAAAAATTGCCCTTATTTTATGAAAAAAATTACTTTTTTTGCAGTGTAGAAATGGTTCTGTAGCTCTTTCCAAACTTATGCACAACAACAACTTGTTTCCTGATCTCTTCCTGAATGTGTTTAGGTGACCAATGGCATATTGCTTTCTGGGATTTTTTTAGCCTACTTCATGTTGTCAGACCGGTTCTCTTTACATTATGTTTTGATTCTACATTTGTAAAGTAATTAGGCCTGTTTGTGGCTTTTAAAAATGAGACTTTTTTGTTATGAAATGGATTTAGATTCTGTGTAATTTCTGTGTTATAAATCACATTGTTCCTCCGGTGCACAAACAAAAGGCTCCTTTAACAGATCTGTGGTGTTTCATAAGTTTCTCCTTGAAATTAAACCCAAATAGATTTTTCCTCTAAGCTGATCAGCAGCTTCTCTTTAACTCACCTATAATCCACTAACTCTGTTATCCAACTCTCCTTGCACAAAAACACACCTACTCCTCAGAGTTTGATGTGACCTTAAAGTCCCTCCATGAGGCCTGTGGTTGAGCTCTAACTACTCATGTCCATCCATATCCCCCTTCCTCCTCCACTCATCACCTTATTGGCTCCTGTTGTCTAACCCAGACCCACTGACTCTCTCTCGGTGTGTGTGTGACGAGGCGGCTATAATTGGCTCTCTCAGACTAGCTGGCTAATGAATTATAAAAGCTCCCTTGGCCCAGCTTACCCTCCAGCAGCGCTTACAGAATCATGCCTCCGTGTCATCGCAGCATGTTTTGGGCGGGCTGGGGGCTGCAGTGAGGCAGAGTGCTGGCATCCCAGGTGAAAGTGGACAGGAAGGGCTGTTTCAGGACCAATACGATAAAAACCCAGGTGAGTTTGTTCAGATGGCAGCATACCTGCGGGCATATTGGAGAGATTCCTGCTTAATTATTCATTCTGCTCCTCACTGCTGCTAAAATAGGGAGGAGATTCAAATGAATTTTACAGATGAATAGATTCCAGTAATAATTTACAACAGGATGGTGTGGAAATTAGTTAATCTGCAGTTTCGGAGAAATTCATCCTTCAGCCAGGCATCAATCATTGATCGACAGAGAGCTTGGTTTGAGTCATTAAGAGGTTTTTACTGGACAAATAAATACTTCTAATTTAAACACATAGCAGAGGCTGGACTAACTAGGTTCCAGTAGAGATACGCTTTATGTCAGTAGATTAAAAAATAGATCAATTTCAGCATAAATACAGAAAATAATTTTGTTTTGTTTTAAGTTAGATTTTGTAGTTTTGTTAATGGAATTGACTGGACCTTTAAAAGGAACATTGCGATAATGATCAGTGGTTAAACCTCTACCCTGAATGCAAAGCCAGCCTTAGCTGGATTTTATTATTAATAACATGGATCGTCATCGGTCTCATCAGAGAAAGGAAGAAAGAGTTACTGCTTCTGCTCTGGAGCATAGAGGTTCATGTTTTAAAGGACTAAAGGCCAGTGGTGTCAAAAGTACACACATTTGTTACTTAGGTAGAAGTATAGATACTGCAGTTTAAAAACACTCTGGTAAAACTTGAAGTATCAACTTGATCTCTTGATGAAAAAAGTATGTGCTCCAAAAACTACTTAAAGTATAAAAGTATAAAGTATAAAAACGGCCAGATGCCACTATATGAATTGAAAGCTAAATTTTTCGACTATTTCTAAAAATTCTTTTAGATAGAGCCAAGGATGAGGGAGGTCTTGTTGGTCTCCATCTCCCGATACGCTCTCGCCTGTGTTCCACTTTTCAGACATTTCAACATCTTTTTCTGAATCCAACATTGTAGCATGGCATAGACAATACACGTTTGCAGTTTGAAGAACACCTGCTTGCTTCTGATGATTTCCTTTAGCTAACCAATGAGTGTTTGCGTTATAAGACTCATCCAATTACACTAGTTTTCACTAGAGGAGCCAACTATCTATGCATTGGATAGAGCACATGACGTGAAATAAATATTTATAAACATTAAACTTAAGCCAAGAGTAACGACTAGCGTTTGTTTTAAAAATGTAAGGAATAGAAACTACAGATACCTGTTTGAAAATGTAATGAGTAGAAGTCAGAAGTAGGACGAAAAATAAGTAATGGAGTAAAGTATAGATACCTAAAAAGTTTACTCTGCTAAAGGGTAATTTATACTCAGAAACCAGGTCGTCCGCGTGTGTGTCACAGTTAATGCAGATATGCCCTTCCGCAGACCTCTCCAAAATTGTACGTGACCACAGACAGTGCCGCAGACGGGAGGCCTCTGATTGGTCAAATCTACATCCGCTCTACTCTATGCATAATTCCTGTTTGGTACCTTACTGGCTTGCTTTATTTGTATGACCGCCATTGTGGAAAACGACTCGTGAAGATGGACCAGCTAGAAGAGCGAGGTGCGCCAGAACGCTGGGACCCTTTTCCCACCTGGATCCCCGCTCTTTTTCGCCCTCATGTCTCTCCATTGTCGCACAAACTTGCCCCCACTTCCTCTTCGCCTCAACCATATCTAGACCCACAGCTAGTTCCTGATTGGCCCTCTGGCGTTGTGGCGTGGAAAAACATAGTGCAGATCACGCTTCAATATTGGGCATAAATCAGAATGACTGCGACAAGCTCACTGCGAGACACTGCTGCGAGATGATAACCAGCCCTTAAGGTGGAAAGACCTTTACTAAGCACTGCTTGGTCCATTTTCCATTGCAGTCTAGTACCATCCTTGGAGTGGAGTTGTGGCCTAGTGGTTAGGGCATTGCGCTTAGATCCCAGAGGTTTTGAGTTCAAACCCCACCCACTGCCATTCTGGGTCCCTTCCGCAGACCTCTCCAAAATTGTACGTGACCACAGACAGTGCCGCAGACGGGAGGCCTCTGATTGGTCAAATCTACATCCGCTCTACTCTATACATAATTCCTGTTTGGTACCTTACTGGCTTGCTTTATTTGTATGACCGCCATTGTGGGAAACGACTCGTGAAGATGGACCAGCTAGAAGAGCGAGGTGCGCCAGAACGCTGGGACCCTTTTCCCACCTGGATCCCCGCTCTTTTTCGCCCTCATGTCTCTCCATTGTCGCACAAACTTGCCCCCACTTCCTCTTCGCCTCAACCATATCTAGACCCACAGCTAGTTCCTGATTGGCCCTCTGGCGTTGTGGTGTGGAAAAACATAGTGCAGACCACGCTTCAATATTGGGCATAAATCAGAATGACTGCGACAAGCTCACTGCGAGACACTGCTGCGAGATGATAACCAGCCCTTAAGGTGGAAAGACCTTTACTAAGCACTGCTTGGTCCATTTTCCATTGCAGTCTAGTACCATCCTTGGAGTGGAGTTGTGGCCTAGTGGTTAGGGCATTGCGCTTAGATCCCAGAGGTTTTGAGTTCAAACCCCACCCACTGCCATTCTGGGTCCCTGAGCAAAGACCATGCAATGCATAGAGTGAATTTCGTTGCTTTGACAGTGTAATAACAATAAAATTGAATTCTATTCTATCCAAACAGGCTCAGAGAATATAAACAGAGACAGAGAGGTAGGGGAGGTGTAGGGTGGTCTTGGAGAAGGGTACAAGCTGTGTGAGAGCAAGCTAATGCTAGCCTGTGCAATGGGAAAAATCTCCTATTAATTCCCCTTTACATATATTGGATTATCAATGGTGAGCTTCATACATTCAGGCCTCAGAGCTGCAAGGCCACAAAGTGAGAGGAGTTGCTTGGTACAAGAAATACTTCTTCCCATAAAAAACCTGGTACTTTCTTAAGGTTTATACATAACATGTTGCTGTTAACCATAGTGTCTGTAATTTGTTTTGGGTTCTGACAACTTTTACAGCTTCTCCACTATTGTAAGTAAGTGAGGAAAACAGTGTCTAGGTCTAAGTCTTGTTCTCGTTTTAGTTTGCAAAGTAAAATAGAATCCGGTTGAGTGAAATCCATCTCCTCCTATTTAACTGGACTATATAGATGAACATCTTTTCCTACAAGACCTGCTAAAGGGGTGGTATGATTGATATGCCCGTTGGACAACAGTGTAATAGATTATGATGAGAGTTTATCGCCTCCAACCCAATCAGTGACTCACAGAGATTACAGATCTACTCAGTGTGGTTGGATCTGCATCCAAGTAGGCAAAAAGATAGTAAAAGTTGTTTGCAACCATGAATGAAAATGCCTAAAAGGGCAGAACAGCTGTGCCAAAACAAGCCAAGTGGGAATAATGGAAAAATTCCTTTAGAGAAGCCGCCGTTCCTGCCAAAAAACCTGGAACTGGTTATCAGATCATCTATAAACCACCTAAACTCCATCATTCTCATCAGAGAAGGATTCTTCAGAGGAAGAAAACGTCTCAGACAGCTCAAAATCTTACAATGAGTGGACCTCCCAGTAGATTCAACCAAATGTCAGCGCATGAGGTGCAAGAAAAAAACAAAACAATGTTAGCAAGCAGATTTAAGGTTAAAGGTTCACAGCAGGGAAAACAGAAACACATTGAACTGGTATGGCTGTATGCAAGCGCATGGGACAGTTTCCTTTCTGAGAGAAGAATACTGCATGAGCTGTAAAGCACGGTAGTGGAGGGTTGATGATCCGGGCCACTTGCAGTTACCAAGTAGATCATAATCTCTGGCAGCCATGTCTGTTTTAGTCAAAGTCTTAGGCTGTTTCTGAATTCACAAGAATACGTGTAAGGACTGGTGTCCTCGCCAAGTATGTAATTGAGAAGAACACAGGAAAATGTGGACTCTGGGAGAACGGGAGCATGCAGAATAAATATGGGTCAACTGGAACAGACGCGTACTGATGACATCATCACACGGTTTGCTCGTCTGGAGCTGCATTTCACCTCCTGTTATTAATGGTCTCTAGACAGCAGTCAATCTGATGCATGCTGGGTAAAGAGGGAGCGGCGAGAACAACATCCGGGGACTTTGTTCGTTCTTTGTCTTGTGTTCTTGTGAATTGGAATAGTACTAGGGCTGAGGCTGGCGATGTTTCACGAGCACATGAGAGCGCACAAGTACGCAGATTGAGAAACGGCTGTAGTCCTTTGGATTAGAATGCCTATTAGTTTAGCCTTTTTCATACATGATGGTTTAGTCGATAAAAAATCTAAAAGGTTAAGTTTAGTTTGAGTTAGCTTCGATAAGATAAAGCAAATTGTTTATTTTCTATCTGTATATGAAAAACTCTTGTAAATGTCAAAAAGTGAATAAAAATAATTAAACATATCATATCTTATAAAACATGTGAATATAAAATGCTAGTTAATGTGTTTAAACACATTGGTTTCACTAAACACAACCATGTTAAGGTGGTAAAATGCTTTTAGCGGTCAAAAAAGCACAAAAAAAGTGAAACTGTAAACAAAATGTAAATGTATGCAAACTGCTGATTGGTTTCTCATTTTTTTTGTTTTCAACAATTTGACTAGTTTTCTTAGCTATTGAAATGTCAACATTTAGCAAAGATGATCAAAGCATCTTTTGTTCCTTGGAGCTAAAAGCCAAAAAAAACAAAAGAAGAAATGCACGTTTCCCTCCTCATCATTTTCAATTCATGAACTTCTATCCTCATTCAGTTTCCCTCTCACTCACTTTGTTTGCATTCACAAAAAGTCTATGATTAAATTGAAATCTATTGTGACTTAGTTTGTTTCATTTATATAGACACAAAAATAATTTAAACGAACAGATGGGCACACAGTCATTGATTATAAACACGTCTAAACTTGCTGCTGATGTTACAGTTAGACACAAAGGAAACAGCAACAGGTTTGAAATATTTCCCTCAATATTCTACCCTGGCAGAAGGCTTACACTAAACCTTTTTCATATAGACTGACAAGGTCAAATTATTATACTGTCTCCTTATTTTTAACAATAATGATGAAATGATTTAAATTAGCTCACTGGAAAAAATCGAAATCTAGATAAGTAATTTTTTCTGAAAATAAGTGCATATTCTTCAATTGAGGAGGAAAAAGAGACATCTTGCCTATGGAACAAAAAAATTTACACAATTGCATTGTCTTATTTCTTGTGCATATTATCTAATGATCTTATCTTAAGAGTAAAAATATTAATTCCCCTGGTAAACTATCTCATTTACCTACTTAAATTAAGGGTAAATACCCTTAATTTAAGAAATTTTTACTTGTTTCCAGTGCTTTGTTTGTCATTATTATTAATATCCAGTCAAGCTAAACTGAGAATCGACATAAACCAGATGAAATCTTGCAGCTTTTTCTCTGTGGTGACACCAGTGGTATCAAAAGTACACACATTTGTTACTTAAGTAGAAGTATAGATACTGCAGTTTAAAAACACTCTGGTAAAAGTATTTACTCAAGTGAAAAAGTATGTGCTCCAAAAACTACTTAAGGTATAAAAGAATAAAGTAACCTTTAAAAAAGCAGCCAGATGCCACTATATGAATTGAAAGCTCAATTTGTCGACTATTTCTAAAAATTCTTTGAGATGGGGCCAATAATGAGGGAGGTCTTGTTGGTCTCCATCTCCCGATACGCTCTGGCCTGTGTCCGACCTTTCAGACATTTCAACATCTTTTTCTGAATCCGACATTGTAGCATGGCTTAGACAATTCACATTTGCACTTTAAAGGACTCCTGCTTGCTTCTGAGGATTTCCTTTAGCTAACCAACCAACTCATCCAATGACACTAGTTTTCACTAGATGTGGATGGTGCAAATCATCTGCATTGGATGGTGAACATGATGTAAAATAAATATTTAGAAACATCAAACCGAAGCCAAAAGTAACAAGTAACATTTTTGTAAGGAATCGAAAGAACAGATACTTGTGTGAAAATGTAATGAATAAAAGTCAGAAGTAGGAAGAAAAAGTAGTAATGGAGTAAAGTATAGATACCTAAAAAGTGTAATTAAGTACAGTAACAAAGTAGGGCTGCAAGATGTAGAAAAAAAGCTTATCGATAAAAAAAAATGCATATCGATAGATAATTATTGACAAGATTTCAAACCATATTTTATGTGCAGCTCTGCCTGGACATTTTATGATATTGCTAAATGATTTAATTGTGATAAAGAACACAAAAACAGACTTCCAATTAAATCTTTATTTAGCCAAATTTTTTAACCATAACAGAATTGTTTTAAAGAAAAATAACTTAGGAGACCTGAGTTATGTTATTAAATACTGACAGCGCTGTGTTTGAGAAAAACTTTCGGCCCGGAACTTCGTATCGAGGATCCAGAGTGGCGAACAGCTGTTTGAACTCAGGTTTCTCAACAGCAAACAACGGCGGCATATCTTTGCTATGAAGCATGTTACAGCATGAGTAATGTCCTTGTGCCGCTTGGACGCTTTGTCGTATTTATCACAAACCAGGAAGCCCAATTTAGCTTGCGAGTCGCTTGCTTTATTTGGGCAGAAATTCCTGAACATTCCTTGGAGGACGATGCAGAGCCCCACCGGGGCAAACACAGCTCGTACTCCTGCGGGTGTGAGCGGCTGAGATGATAAAATAAGTTGGTAGTGTTATCAGACTTCGTTCTCACTGGTTCCCTACAAATTTTACAGATGACTGTGGTTTGTTTTATGTCCGACTTGCCATAACCGAAATACTGCCAAACTGGCAAACTACAAAAACCCTTCTTTGGAACAATTTCCTCCGCCTCTCCTTGCTGCGACATCTTCATGTGCTCTGTGTTGTGGTTTGAGAGGGCGGCGCTTTGTGACGGCGTGCCTGGGTCCGCGATTGTGATTGGTTGGGAGGAAGTAGTGACTAGCATAAACCTACATGATAGGCTACAATGAGAAGGAAGGAAAACTGCGTTTCTTTATCAAACTTTTATCGACTCTCTTTTTTCTATTGCGCCACACGTCTATCGATCGATACATATCGTCACACCTCTGGGTGACCCAGACCACAGTCTCACAGGTGGCTCCTGCTCTACAGGAATCTGAAATGTGATTTAATGTCTCAGATTGGATTCCTGCAGAGGTTTTTGATTCAGACAGATGAGTTCAGTCACTGTTTTATGTTCAGAGTCTGAATCAATGCTCTGCTGCTTTAATCAAACATAGAATTACAAGCTTAACTTCAGACAAAATTAGAAAATATTGGAAAATTTCACCAAATGCGGCAATCAGATCAGTTACCTGATCCAGCAAAGAATCGTCTCAAAAAAAACCCAACAGCAAACGGTAAGGGTCAGTTATTGAAACATGACCCTTTGGTCCTGATGACGGTGATTAAATTCCCCCCTTGTGGTCTTGAGTATTTCTATTACGCTGCACTATTGTCCAACTTTTCTTGACTTGAAGTTTTTTTTGTTACTTGCATAATTTTTCCTGTGTGCTTTGTGTCTTTTTTCGTCTATTTTGTCAATATGCAAGACTTTTTGAATCTGCTGTGTCATCATGCATATAAAACACAAAACCCAGTGAGCTAATGACCGACCCACGCAGTTCGCCACATAATATGGAGCAGCTGATTTTTATTATCTTGTTTTCATAAGTTCTGCTACAGTAAACCAACTACTTTCCTCCCATAACCATGACTCTTTGCACTGATCCAAAGCATAAACACATGAGCAAAGAACCACAAGAGATAAACGGAACTGTTTTCCTGTTTTCATTGCAGAATGAAGCCCAGATGCCTCCTTTCCACCGTGGACAGACTTCCAACCATCAGTGAGCTGCGGGAGAGCGACTTAGACGAAGCAGACCCAGAATGTTCCTCTCACACCATGGAGGAGTACTTGGACTCAATCAAAGAGCTCTCCCAGCCGGCCTGTTACCCGCTGCATGGCCCCCTAAGAGGCCACCTCCGCTGGAGGGTTCGCCCGGGCCCCGCAGTCACGCCCATGGCTGCTTCCTTATTCCTGAACGCCTCCAGGAGCCAAGTGCTCTGGCTCCCCGTCGACCCCTCAGATGTGTTCCTCACCTTAGCAGCTCCGCCCAGCTGTAAGCCGTCAGTGCGCGTGAAACAGAACCTGCTGGACACGCTGATGTCCCCGTCCCTGTTTGCAGGCCTGGTGTGAAGTTAGAAGAAGAGCTGGAATCCCCTGGAGAACAGAAACTATCTACATGTTCAATGGATTCTCTTTGAAGCTTGAAACAAATGCAACACATGAAACAAAAGATGAAAAGAGGACATGAAGAAGAGAGCAAACAGTTGCAGAGCACCAACTAAATGGCTCCGCAGGGGTCCACAGCAGCCAGAGGGGCCCCCAAACAAACTAGGTTTAATTATTTAGAGATACGCAGCATGGTTTCTGGTTTCTGTTCAACCTAGCAGAGCGTTTCAGCTAAAATCGAAGCCGTCTGCAGCTCAGTCCTGGTGTGACACACCTTGTAGTTCCAAACACTTGATTTTCCCTTTTGATTCTTTGCAAAAGATAAACTATGCTGGTTTTAGTTTCATGGTGAAGATGCATTTTTTATTTTGATGAGTGTCAGAAATTAGGACCAGATCTCTACAAAAAAAGTTTGAGCCTCAGCAGTGTTCATCACAAAGTCCCACAATAAGCGAAACTGTTTTATAATAATGTTTATACTCTAACTACTGTTTAAACAAAAAATAAAACAGATGTTATGTTAATTTCATGGCTTCTTTTGGATATTCTTTCAGGTGTTTGGATGTTATGTGAGTCAGATATTTTTATATCTCAAATGAAAATTCAATTAACACTACTTTTTATTGTTGAAATGCAATATTAAACACTCAGCGATCGGTCACCCTGTTTGCTGTTTTTTTTTTTAATAGGGTTTGGTGACCGATGGATTTATATCAAGGAAATATTAAACACATTTCTTTGGAATTTAGTTTTTCTATTGTAAAATCTAGTTAGCAATTTGTAAAAAAAATAACAATTTAAATAACAATGCAAATCAGTCAGTGCAGGTTTCACTATAGCTTCATGGAGACAGTAATGAGCAAGAAATAAATGTTTCTGAGTCAAAAAAGAAAAGGAATAATATTACGATTTAGTAATTTATTCTGCCTTTATCTGGAGGATGGATGGATGGATGGATGGATGGATGGACGGACGGACGGACGGACGGATGGATGGACGGATGGATGGATGGATGGATGGTGGATGGATAGATGGATGGATGGATGGATGGATGGACGGACGGATGGATGGATGGATAGATGGATGGATGGATGGATGGACGGTGGATGGATGGATGGATGGACGGTGGATGGATGGACCGACGGATCGATGGATGGATGGATGGATGGACGGTGGATGGATGGATGGATGGACGGTGGATGGATGGACCGACGGATCGATGGATGGATGGATGGACAGACGGATGGATGGATGGACGGATGGATGGATGGACGGACGGGTGGATGGATGGACGGATGGATGGACGGACGGATCGATGGATGGATGGATGGACAGATGGATGGACGGACGGATGGATGGATGGACGGACGGATGGATGGATGGATGGACGGATGGATGGACGGACAGATCGATGGATGGATGGACGGACAGATGGATGGACGGACGGATGGATGGACGGACGGGTGGATGGATGGATGGATGGATGGACGGATGGATGGATGGACGGATGGATGGATGGACGGACGGACGGATGGGTGGATGGATGGACGGATGGATGGATGGATGGATGGATGGACAGACGGATGGATGGATGGACGGATGGACGGACAGATGGATGGACGGATGGATGGATGGATGGATGGATGGACGGACAGATAGATTGACGGATGGATGGATGGATGGGTGGATGGATGGATGAATGGACGGACGGGTGGATGGATGGATGGATGGACGGACGGACAGACGGACGGATGGGTGGATGGATGGATGGTGGATGGATGGATGGACGGAAGGATGGACAGAAGGACAGATGGATGCATGTTTTGTGCCACCTTGTGATTGAGAGCTGAGACCTCAGGGTTGTTGAGTGCAGAAGTCTAACTTTACTTTACACCTCACATCTTTTACAGTCAACCGGACCACAAAATGTGGATTTAATTTAATGCATCTATCCTCTGTATCTGCTGACCTTCCTCTATGCTCCCTCCAAGGTGAGCCAGATTTTATATCCCATTGTACTCCTGCTCCCAACCAGCTGAATCATTTACTGGACTGGATGTGAACCAAAGCAGCTAATTTCTTCTATATGCTTCACTTGGTGCTTCTCTGTTATAAGTTGTGCCAATTCAGAGCTCTATCTCTTAGATTACCTTGTGCACCGGCACGTGTTTCAGTCCAACTTCAGAATCGATAAAAAGACTTTCAACTTGCAAAGAATTAGTCAGAGTGCAAAGAAAAAACATTTTTGTTTGTGTTTAAACTTCAGCAGGAACGTACTGTTATTCTCCTAAATTGTGAAATCAGTGTTATTCTTTTCTAGAACAGTTCATGGGACTCAAACGAAAGAGCAGGCAAAAAAAAAAAAAACGGTTTGCAGATGCAGAAACTTCTCACAGGTTTGGACATGCACCTCTGCAGACAGAGGTTACTGACTTTAGGGAACATTAGGAATGACCTTTTGGGTTTCTGTTGCTTAGTTTGGCTGAAATATAAAAAAAATCCACCACGTTTTATTTGGACAACATCAGTTTGAAATGTAAGCCATGACTATTATTGTTTATCTTCAAATCAACAGAGACAAAAAGTCCAGTTCATCCTCAGTTCATGCATCAAGCGCAGATAATCAAAATAGTTTATTTGTTGAAGGTTGCTTTAGACGCGCTGCAATCAGGCATATATAAAGATTTCTCTGACATTCAATCATGACATTTAATATCGAAGCTCTTCATTATTCGTCAGTAGCTTTTAGGCTAAATATACAACCCTCTACTTTTAGTTTCTTTTTCCCTGAAGTCACATTACAGAGAAAAAAAAATCTGGGTTGGGTGTTGGCAAGCTCTTCTGAGTTCCTTCCAAGAAACATTTGGTATGAGACAGAAGGACTCCCTGGAGATATTTCCACAGAACGGGCTCTTAATCTGGCTGACCCTGAGACAGCTCGCACACATTGTGCAACTCTGCATACAGATGTGAGCGCACAGGGAGGCCCGAGAACAGAGCTGCAGCACAGCTTTGCAGCTGTAAGGATGTGCAATAATAGTCTAAAAATTAATTGGACCAATGTATCATTAGTAAGTTAATGCCACAGCGATAAGAAGAGACTCACGATGCAGAACTTATTAGATTGTGCAACACTTATGCAACTTTGCTGCTTCAGCAGAGTGAAAAAATTGGATACATAGGATGTGTTTTAAATTAAATCCACAGCAAGTTGTAGATTCATCTATTCTCCAAACCTCATTAAATGAAAGGGGTAAGTTACTGTGAGCAGCCTGGCTTACTGCAGAGAGCCCGAGGACAGAAATAAAGCAGATTCACTGTAATCAAGTCCGTCTGGAATGATCTGAAGACGCGAGTGCTGCATGCCTCTACACATCAAACACAGTTAAAGAAAGCAGTAGGTAATGAGAGCGGTGCATCAGGGGCTACACGACGAGAATCATGCAGCGGAGTGATGACATCGACAGCTCCAGTTGAGGCATGCACGTGTTCACAGAGGAGGAACCACAAACAGTTGCAGTTGGCATGATTTTACTTTACAGCACAAAGAGCTGAACAGTTCAGGTTCAATCAGCATGACTGTGGACATATCTCTCAAATCAGGGCAAAACAAACCTGCACTGTAACCTTTAACAGTAGAATATGTTTTAACATGGGTTGATTTTTATTGCTTGTGTCATATTTGAACATGCTGATGGAGGAAAGGTAAAAGACTTTGGATTACAGCAAATGCAGTGCAGCTGCTCAGAGATCAGTTTTACCAGCCTGTCCTAGAACTGACACTTTAGACACAGGAAATCAATCATGCAGGCATTTAAAAAAAACCCAAGAATAATGTTAGTTTGTCTTTGCAATTGTCATTCTATCATAATTTGTCTCTTGCATTTAATGCTACCCTGAAGGAGCAGATTGCATCTCTCAGTGAACATCCTTCATCTACGGGTCTTGACCAGGGACCCAGATTAAAAGTGTATGAGGTTCAAAGCTGGAACTTGCAACAGCTGCAGCTGAGAAAACTCTCAGCTGCAGCCTCTAAGCTAGTACTCCCCATGTGACAAAGCAGGTCTATTGAAGGAGTGTATGTTGCACTGTAACCTTGCATCAAGAAGGTTCTGGGTTCCACTCCCGGCCTAGGGATTTCTGCATGGAGTTTACATATTGTCCCCATTCATTCGCCCTGGGTACTCTCCCTTCCTTCCACGCCCCAAAACATGAATGTTAGCATAAATTGTCATTAGGTCTCAGTGTGTGTGTATGTGTGCATGGTTGTATGTCTCCGTGTTTGCCCTGCGACACACTGGCAATCTTTCCAGCATGTACCCTGTCTCTTGCCCATAGGCTGCCGAAGAAAGGCACGGATGGTAGGACCTGTGACAGAATAAGCGGGAAAAGGTGGTGTCATTTGGATTGTACCATGTTTAATATTCACAGGCCTATCCAACATTTATTTTACACTGCAAAATCGCATGCATTAAATATCCTGTGTTGGTGTTATATACTGAAAGTACAGTTTTAATGTGATATTTGTTTAGTCTAATTCCACTATAAGACTAAACAAAGTCAAAGTTAGTTCCTCCAAAGGGCTGGAGTTAATCCCAAGAGATAAATCAAGCCACCCTGTTTTGTTGTTTTTAATTAACCTTTCCAACTTATCTGTGAACTCTGATCTCTTAAAACACCTGTGCTAGTTAAAACATTAGTGGGTTTATGTTATTTTGTAAGCCTGGTAGTGCACCCTAGATTCTGTCATCATGCCCCAGGGCAGCTGTGGCTATGATGTATCAGACAGAATGAGATTATTAATTTCCACTGTTATGCTGATGATACTCAGCTAGGTTTGTCCATAAGACCTGGTGTTAGTACAGGTGATAATGTCAACCGTTGACACTATATACCAGTGTTAGGTAGATTCAACACTGTTGTGTTGAATTAAAGCTACTGTATTAAAGCTATTGAGAGTGTTACTCTAACTTCTAAATTTAAATAATTGAACATCTAACTTTGTGAAAAAGCTATTATAAATTACATAGCTATTTTCAAACAGTACATATCTATCAAACCCATGAAATCTAATATAATGTAGGAAAATTTCTAATTACAGAAAAATATATTTTTACATGATCTCAGCTATAATGCCTGGTCTGATTACTCATTTCACATACCTGCTTAGCTCCGCCCAGTTCTCATTTCCTTACCACAGAGCCTGGATTCCCTTGTCCAGCCTGTCAGCCACACTGTGTACTGTACCCGGGGGGGGGGGGGGGGGGGGGGGGGGGGGGAGGGGGGGGGGGGGCAGTTGCCTATGAATATGAAACTCTGTTTACATGTATGGTTAATACAACTATTCCTTATTTCTGCATATTAATTATGTTTTTGATAAAAAATCATTTTGCTAAAATGCCATCAGAATGCTGATAATATTAAGCGAGTCTCAATTCAGAGGGCCCCTTGCCTGTTTTTGCCTAGGATCCCAAATTTCTTAAATCTGCCCCTGACTGTACCTGGAACTGTGACTGAACTTCATCCTGGATTGCTCTGTGGCACATCACCGGATAGCTG